CCAATGTCTTTTTACAAAGCAAATAGAGGCTTCCTGGGGCAGGATTTTTACCAATCCTCAGTTTATCTTGTGACGTTTGCAACTTGTGGGACTTATCTCCCCCAAAGACAGCAGAAGAGACTGGGGCAAAGGTGCTGCAGTGGGGGAGCGTGTGCTTTGCACCCCGTCAATTTGCTGACATATCTATTTATGTGACTAAATTGAAGAGGGCTGTGTTTCCATGAATACATGAATCAATTGAGGAATGTTGCATCTGTGTAGTTTGCAATGTAATCAGATGGAGGGTATGGTAGTGGCCTGTATGATGGTTTCCAGTAGCCCCGCCCCCTAATAGCCCCACTCTGTGTCCCTAATAGCCCCACTCTGTGTATTCTCCCCATAGCCCCACTCTGGGTATTCTGTCACCTAGCATGTGGATAGGCTCTAGAGAAGTTTTATTTGAGGCAGGGTTTCTCTGTATCTTTAGGCTGGCCTCGAACTCACAGAGATCTGCCTGTCTCTGCCTCTGGAGTGCTGGGATCAAAGGCGTGCTCCACTGCCGCCTGGCCTAGAGCAGTTGTTCTCGTCCTCCCTAATACTTGTACCTTTAATACAGCTCCTCATGTTGCAGTGACCCCCCACCACCAAGAAATTACTTTGGTTGCTATTCCATAAGTGTAATTGTGTTGCCCTTATGAATTGTAATGTAAATATCTGTGTTTTCACAGATGGCAGTTGGGGTCACACCCGCAGGTTGAGAACTACTGATCTAGAGACTCCTTTGATAGGTAGAATATGGCAGAAATTACAGGATGTCCTGAGATTGGAAAATGAATTCCAACGTGGCCCTCCTGCCTTCCCATCCTCTTCCCCTCCCTTCTCTCTTCCCCTCCTTTCCCTTTTTTTCTTTAACTGACTTGTGAGGAAACCTGAGGCCTCTTGGACAGCTTATGGATAGGCTCTCCTGCCAGTAACCTCTTGAGTGAACTTGAAGGCAGATTCTGCAGCTCTGGGCAAGGGTTAATAAGGCTGCGCCTATCTCCTACAGCTCTCCCCAGAGACCCGGAGCCAGGGCACCTGGCTAAGTCTTACCCAGATTTCTGACTCCCGCCACCAGGAAGACAATAAGGGCTTTTTGGTGTTTGAGGGTAATTCATTATCCAGCGATAAGTTCATTAATGCAAACCGTTTTGGTAATTGTATAGCTAAAGTGAATTTAGAAGCTAAAATTTCACCTCATTTGTTGAAAGAGTCATAGAAAATCACAGAACTGAAACTCTGCTTCTCTCTTTGAGAAGAATGAGCTATAATTAGAGCTTAAACAGGACATTGTAGAAATCTGTCATAGGATTAACACTAATTAGAAGCAACAGGCATTTTGTAGAGTTTAGCTGTTGTCTTACAATAAACATTCATTTTGTGATAACATACTTTTAAAATGAGGTGCATGCGTGTGTGTGTGTGTGTGTGTGTGTGTGTGTGTGTGTGTGTATGAACAGTTTAAGCTAATGTTTGACCAGATTTTCATTATTGGCTGAGGGAAAGAGAAACAGGAATATTTAGATACACTTCAGAAATGGGTTATAGGGCCAATGACATGGTTCAGAGAGTAAAGGCTCTTGCTACCAAAACCGAGGACTTGAGTACGATCCCCAGAACCTACATGATGGAAGGAGAGAGTGACTTCATAACATTGTTCTCTGACCTCCATACACATGCCTTGGCACACATGTACACACAAAGGCACATGCACACACATAGATACAGACACAAAGCATATAGGCACACACACACTAAATAAAAATGTAATAAGAAGAGCTTATACACTAAAATTGATAAGACCTTCCTTTGTCCTTAGCATTTATATATATGTGCATATATACATGTACTTTACACAATTAAAATACGGTTTGGTCAAAGAATAAATAAACAGTATTTTAGAAATATGATTCACTGTTATGGGACTCCAAGAGCAATCTTTCACCGTGCTGGGAGACTGAACCCAGGGCCTTGCACACACTATGTGTGCATTGTATTAGTGAGTTGCATCCTTGGCCCAGCAACAAAACAACTGGACATTACTCTGAGTCCCCGTATATGGGTGAAACATCTCAGTACAGCTCTAACTTTTAAAGATCTGACAAGCAATTATTCTAAAAAAAAAATGGTGCAGACACTTTGTGTTTTTCTAGAAATTGAAAAGTAAACATGCCCATTTCCTTAATGGCAACCAAGCATTTCTTGCTATTATTACAAACATGCTGAACATGATGCTATGGAGTTTTAGAAATCATGGTACCTTAAACATGAACTGAGCATTACCGCAATAAAGAATGAAAGCATTCTTTCGGAGTCGTGTATCACAAGGCAACTTAATTACTCAACGGGAAACCCAGGCTCTAGGGCTTGGCGACATGACTCAATAGTTAGGATAGCTCTGTGCTCTTCCAGAGCCACGTCTCAGTCCTTATTACTGATTAAAGATATTGCTTGATGATATTGTGTTGTCAAGTATGTAAAATATGATTACTGATCAGCAGTTCTTTGCGTGCATGTTTTCTTTTATTATTTGAGAATTTTATGCATGTATACCATAAGTTTTTAAATAAAAGGCTACTCTTCCTGCCTCCTCCCAGTGTCTCCCATACCTCCTTGGAACTTTTCACTTCAAACTCATATACTATTTTCTTTTAACCCATGAGTTCATTTAGGGGTGCCAGTATGTGTGCTGGTAGGGCCATCCACTGGAGCATGGGGGACATTGCACATCATAACCCACACAGCAGCAGGGACTACATGTATCAGACCCACACAAGATCAAGACAGCTAAAACTTCAGGAGGAAGCAGGGCGGGCCTCACCAAGCCCCACCCATAGCTGTTGGGAAGGGAGAGTCAGGTCTCTTTGCACGTTTCTTTTTTACCATTCTCTTTACCTAAAATGGCCTTCTCCTTCATATTAATTCAACGAAACGAACTTTCATGTAAGATCCTTCTCAGTGGTCCCCACTTTCATGAATTGCAGGCTTACTCTATCTTGGTTTTTATCTGTTGCCCTGGTGACTAGAACTGATCTGGCTTTCTTCTCAATCTTTCCACACATCATTCTGTGGTCACTTCTGTCATCTTTGATCTCTCTCTCTCTCTCTCTCTCTCTCTCTCTCTCTCTCTCCCTCTCTCTCTCTCTCTCTCTCTCTCTCTCTCTCTCTCTCTCTCCCCCTCTCTCCCTCTCTCCCTCCCTCCCAATTTCATCGTTTCCCATCATCATCTGCCCCTTTGCCCTGCCTCCACTATATTGGAATAGACTACTGGCCCTTTCTTCAATGATCACAGCTCTGGTCCTCATATCTTGTGCAAATCCATCCTCTGGGCTTGAATAGCCTTTGAAGCCTCCAACTCTGCAGGCATCTTTCCTTGCCTCTATCACATGAGATTGTGTTAGTTTTGTCAGTCATTGAGTTCCCAAGATCTAATGCAATGATTGACATATCAGATAACTGCAGTAAACATTTGTTGCATCCATATCTTACTTCCAGGGATTGCTACCTGGCATTTTATCAGAAAGGACTAGAGATACTGAGATGAATCTGGTTCTTTAACAACCATAGTTGAATCTTTTCCCTTGATGATTTCCTTTCAAGTACTTACTCGTCTGCTAAAGCATTTCACCTTTATTAATGAGAAAAAATGTGCTAAAACATTGTGTCCTTTTTAGTTCAAGATTTATTTGAATATATTTAACTATGTGTAGATGTGTGTGTGTGTGTGCATGTGGGTAGGCATATGTGTGCTGGTGCCAACAGAGCTAGACAATTTGGATCTCCTGGAACTCAAGTTATAAATGTTCATCAATTGCCTGATATGGGTTCTGGGAACTGAACTTGGGTCTTCTGGAAAAGCAGCAAGTGGTTTAAACACCAAGCCATCTCTCCTAAACATTAGTTTCCTCTTTAAACAGCATTTTTTATTGATAAATAAGAACTTTATGCTTCTGATGTACAGCATGATGTTTTTAAGAGTCTGATTCTTACTAGGCATATGGCCTTGAACTGCTTTCTTAATCATTCATGCCTCAACTTCCTTACCCCATGTGTGAGAGAGAGACAGTCTCACTATGTAGATCATATTAGTCTGAACTTGTAGCAATCCTCCTGCTTCTGCCAAGTCGAGTTTTCTTATTTTTAAAAAGGGTGTGATAAAAGCTCTTTTTTTTAAGGTTGTAGTGAGGGTTAAATGAGATGTTTCTACTATCTGGAATATTCTCTCCCCAGATTTTCCCTGCCTTCACATCTAAGACGTAGTTCAAAGGGCAGGACCTCAGAGGCCTGGTCCCTCCCCAGTTTCCCATGTCACCGTCTTTGAAGTTCTTCATAGCATTTGTCACTATCTGAATTTATCTTTATTTACTTATTTGCTTACTAGCTACGTGACCTCAATTTCGGAGTCCCTTTCTTCTCGCTACCATTTCCTTGGTGTCCAGAGCCAGGTCTGCATGTAACTTCACTGCATAATAAATAGTTGAGTTATTCACTTCCTCTTGTTGCTCCAAGCCTTTGAGAAAGCTAACGGACAGCCACACTTTGGGGCTGCTTTCTGACAGTTTATATGTTGGGGGTGGGAGGGCTTTTTATCAAAGTACTGTAAAGCTTATGATCCAGCTCAGCCTTGGGAACCTAGCCTGGGACCATTGGAACGTGACTTGTCTGCTTCCCAGAATCACTGGAGACTTGTAGATAGCCAGCTTATCCTTTCTGTACATAAAAAGTGCTATAGCTGGAGATCAAACGAGGGAGACTTAGTGCTAAGCTCATTGGTGGTAAACAGAAGACGGGAAGTGGAGATAGAGGGGAAGAGATTCTCCTGGGAAAGGCTTTGTAGAGGAACCTGAAGGGGTGGGAAATCATCCTAGAGAGAAAAACCAAGGCACTGATGGCGGCACACCATGTAGATTAACTCCTGGCCCACAGATAAAGCGAGATATGTGTTTATGAAGCAAAACCACCCAACTTATACTTTTGTGCCATCAGAATTTTATTATTTTTTTAAAGATACAAAAATAGTAAAAAAAAGGAAGTTATAATCAGCTATATATGAATCTGCCCTTCACAAAATTCTTCTTAAAAAGCCATAATGGCATCTATTTGACTGGCAGTAGAAATGCTATATACTAATTCTAGGAACAGGTCTTTCAGAAGCCTCCAAATCTGGGCACTACATGGGTTTCTTCTTGCCATCTGAGTGAACACATGAGTCCCCAGAAGTAGTCAGTGGTGTCAGATGACTACACAAGATGGGCCTCCGAAGACTCTGTCCGCTGAAGTGGGCCTTACATGCTCTTTTGCTGGAAGACAGAAGGCGGACAACTGCAGTTAAGTTGTTGGCTCGGCTCTGGCAAGCTGAACACGTGGTAGCACGTATCATTCTTCGGGGTCGCGGCGTTGTTATTGTTTCCAGCTTTCGTGGAGTAGGGCTTGGTGAGCCACGGGGACCGTCGAGGGGCAGCACACGACACGGGGATCACATATCTAGCCGATGAGCCCTTGGAAGCATAGTGAATCTCCGAGCTGTAGATAACCACGTCTGGAGAGACAGCCTTGACGCGGATGCCACATTCGGTGACGCGGTAGGTAAACTCGTAGAAGTGTGGGTGAACTTGGTTGGGAGGACATCCCAGGCCCAAATGCACCTCATAAAAGTGGACGAACACATCGTTATTCAGCAAGAAGGGGTGGACTGTGACCATGAACCAATCGGTCGAGCACAGCACATCCACCTGATTTTGCTCCGAGTAGCTGCAGAGCATGAAGGAGAAGAGGACAATCGCTGCGAGGAACTTGAAGAGCTTCATTCTTGCCGCAGGTTGGGTCGCAACTCACAGGAGGCAGGAAGGAATTCTAGAACACACAAAAACACAAGAGACAGGTTACCTTATGTCATATGCAAAGTTCAAGGATGCGTTTTTTGAAGAAAAACCCAGAGATGAGGGGAACTTCCATGAAAGGCAGAAATGAATTTGCAGTAGCTCGCATGGTAAAGATAACTAACAAGACGTCTTGGGAATTTTATTTATTTATTTATTTATTTATTTATTTATTTATTTATTTATTTATTTATTCGGTGGCGCTTTGGATGAAGTCCAGGCCCTCCCGCATGCAAGGCCAGTGTTCCAGCTCTGAGATACATGGGCCTGGGATGGCACATGGATTCTCTAAGTGACTTTCTCATGCTATTCTGGTCTGAAGCACGTACCCCTCCCTCTTGTGTAGCATGAGAACCCGCACTGATCAGGATGGCTATCCTATTTTATGTACATTGGCATGAAACCCAAACAAAACAGTTTTCATGTTAAACATGAAATCAAGGCATGGGAAATAGAGTTTAATTCAAATGAGCAACCTAGTCTGCCTTAAGGGCTGTGATGTCCTCACATATATTATCCAAACGAGCCCTTCCTTATGACCTTCTTTCTTAGCAAAAAAATTGAATTTTATTTTATTTATTTATTTTTTAAAAATTATTTTCCTTTTATTTGCATTGGTGTTTTGTCTGCATGTACGTGTGAGGGTGTGAGATCTTGGAGTTACAGACAGTTATGAACTGCCATGTGGATACTGGGAATTGAAGTCGGGTCCTCTGGAAGAGCAGTCAGTGCTCTTAACCACTGAGCCATCTCTCCAGCCTCCAAATTGAATTTTAAAACAGAAGTAGAAGCTTGGTGAGATGCCCATTGGGCAAAGGCACTTGCAGGCAAGCCTGATGACCTGAGTTTAATCTCTAGAGCTCACATGGTGGAAGGACAGACTCCTGATAGTTGTCCTCTGCCCTCTCTGCCCTCCAGACACTCGCTGTGACAAGCACATACCTCCCCAAAGTCAATATAACAAATTCTTCAAAAATCAAGGAGAAATTCATTTTATTCCTGACAACCACATATTGAAATCTGGCTGAAAGGCTCAATTAAATACAACCAAAAGAATTCATCTGGTACTCCATCAGTAGCTTTGTAACTCATGATGAGCAAAAAATTCTCTGATACAGTGAGACATTTTGTAAATCAGAGAAATTTCGGGAAGAAGAGGGGGAGGGAGGAAGAAAGGAAGGAAAAGGAAGAAAAAACAGTTGGAGCTACAAAGTGAGACTTTCTCAAAATTGAAAAAATAAAAGCAAAAGCAAATAAAAAACAACATTCTGAGCCTTTTGTGGTGGCTTCCATTGAAATCCAAACAATTCTGAAGTAGAGGCAGGAGGACTGTCACAATTTCAAGGCCAGCTTATACTACAGAGTAAGACCCCTTCTCAAAAAATACCTCCAATCATGCTGCTTTTAATTTTACATTTTAAATGCATATTGCATACAAACGACTTAAAAGAAGTGCTATATTTAAAATAAATCATTTTGTTCATGTTGTATGTGTAGATTGGCCAACCAGCTCCTGAGATCTTTGCTTCAGATTCATTTGTACTTGATACATTGCTAGCTTTTGGGTTCTTTGTGTCTTTTGCCCCGAAAGAGTAGTAGACACAGTGACTGGGAGAAAGGAACAAAGCTCAGAAGAACTGTCTGAGGCAAGGCAGCAGAGGGAGGCAGCAAGGGGAGAAAGAAGGACATCACCAAACATCATCCAATCCAGCTTTCACTTTAAATGTGGAAAACCACATAAATCAAACAGAAAGTGCCTAAGAATTGGAAGGAAATGCATGCACATAAGTGTGGGGATTAACTTTTGTTCCCTGCTAAGTATTCCCCATATAGATGATTTCATCCTTTGACTAATATTTATTGAGTGTCTACTATACTCATAGCATCAGGCTAAAAAGCCCCCCCCCCAAGACATTCCCTTTTCCCATCTGTAAATAGGCAGCTCTTTCTCTGCCTTTGCTCTTGACAGATGTGGAGAATTCTTGAGTGGAAAACATGGGGTGGAGGCCCACTAGAAGAGTGTACTCTCATGGATGAAGTGCTTTGTTTCTGATGGAGACTGCTTGCTTGCACTGTGTTTCCTTTCTTCCTAATGACTCTTCATTCTCTCTGTAGTGTCGGGTATAGTGTTGGGAGGGGGTAAAAAGAAACCAAAGGTGACTTCTCTGTGCTCTTTCTTTATTCTGAAGTGTCGCTGCTGAGGCTGGCTGATTTTTCCCCATAAAGCAACAATAGAGACAGAAGCAGCAGCAACAAGAACTAGAATAAGAACAAGAACAAGAAAAACAACACACACACAGAGACAGAGACAGAGAGAGAGAGAGAGAGAGAGAGAGAGAGAGAAAGGAAATCACCCCACTACTATCACCTTATTATCTGTGTCTAAAGAAACCACCTTGTCCTAAGCATGCTTTAGAAACGGCTTTCTCTCTCTCATCCCTCCCTTCCTTTTGTTCTCCTTTTCCATCTCCCTTGCATTCCTCTCCTTTCCTTACCATGATCTCACAACCTGGCCTTGAGCATCTGCCTTGAACAAAACCCTTCTCCAAACCTTTCTCCACAAGCAGCTTCTGACTAGACCAAGAAAGCAATTCTTTCGTCTCATTTTTGTTCTCAGGCTCCAAAGTGAGACTGCAGTTGAAGGCTGTTCTGGTCCAGGAGTTAAACTAGCCATTTCCTCTCCCTCTCCCAAGCATCCTTCATGTAACCCTCCTCTCCCTTTCTCTCATGAATAATCCAAAAAAAGTTACCAAATGCCTACATTCTCCAAGAAACAAGACAATTGGTTCCCAGGCAATCATTTCAGACTATCTTCTTGCTCCATGCCCACTTTTCAAGTTCCGCTGCTCTCATTCAGTCTGAAAGAGGGGCTTTGGTGACGCCACTGTTTCAGTAATCATTTAGTACAAATCTCCAAAGTGGGACAAGATAGAAGCTGTTTCCTCCCATTTCCTTTGAGCCAGCAACAGATTGCCACGTAACAGGGGCAATAAATGAAGATGCCTATGTATATGACAACACACCTCCGGACTCAGAAAAGACTTTAATAAAAATCAGTGTGAACTATGCTCGAGGTCCCATAGCTCTGGGGGAGAAGTGAAAGGCTAGAGATTAAAAGGAGAGCAAAATGTACTTAATAATGAGCTTGCTCAGTGGGAGCCCGATACTTCAAGGCTGTACTTTAGGCCTGGCTCCCTTTTGCTGAAGGCACATCATGAAAAACGGAACAGCCTCCTTTCCCTAGCTGCCTGCTCTTTGCAGGGACAGTGAGAAGGGCGTGCGTGTGTACACCCACATGGCAGTCATTTGTCCCGGGGAATGGCTGTAAGTCACTCGCCGCACAGTGTGACTTCATCACATGAGCTGGCTTTCCTAACACCTAGCTGAGATGGGCCAGCAACTTAGGATCTAAAGAAGGGATAGGGAAGACTTGGGTTACAGGGGCCGAAGGCAGCTGAACGGCTAAGAAGGGAAGTGGGAGACTATAGAGTAGGTGCCAGGCTGAAGGTATTTCCAGATCTAGCTGGACTGTACACAGCAGCCCAGGAGCTGTGGAATGCGAACAGAATGGCAGCTAAACTCTCCAGAAATCTTCAGCGCTGAGGGACAGTTAGAGACCGAGAAGGAGGGAAACACAGAGCACGGCTCACCTTGTGACTACTGTCCGCTTCTGGCAGGTGGGCTTAGAAAACAGGTTTTAGAGTATGGATTACAGGAGCCCCATTTGGCCTTGACTGCAAATTTTCTCTGCAGTGAGCTGAGATTCATTGGTTTAACCAAACAGGGCTCAACTATGGAACATACTGCCCTGAACCCAGCTATAGAGCAGCCAGGCAAACTCTGCTAACACCTGGATGCAAAATGTTTGTTTTCCTTGCAGTTACCAAGTACAAGGAGCTTTCTGTTTTCTTAAATGTGGTTTATGCATATACATTTCCCACCAGTTCCTTCAGCAAAAATTTTCCTTCGCTTCCCTTCTTCTCCCGAAGATCTCCCATATTTGGACTAATCATGGATGAATCCTTTACATTAAAAATTCATGAGATCGGTGCTAGGGAGATGGCTCAGTGGGTAAAATGCTTGCAAGGCAAGCATGAGGACCAGCTCTCCAGAAGGGAGATAAAACAGCAGCATGGCTGCCCGTAATCCTAGGGAAGGCGGGGCAGAAAGCAGAGCCGGTGAGTCCATGGGGCAGGCTGAATAGCCAGGCTAGACTATAAATGGTGACCTTTAGGTGTGGCGAGAGACTACAAATGTGTGTCACCGTGTCAAGCTTCCTACAGGGAATGGCTGAAAATGCTACTTTTGCAGCTCAGCACTGCCATGTTTAAAGTGGCGAAAGGCAATTCGAATAACAGAATGGATCCCGCCGTCCCTCGCTGTCTGTGGAGGGCTGGCCCCAGAAGCGTGGGGGTAATACCCAAATCTGCAGATGCTCAGCTTTCTTATATTGGCAGCATACAACCTAGCCCCATCCTCCAGGACACTTTAGCTCACTTCTAGCTTAGTTAGAATACCTGGTACAATGTAAGTGCTATGAAAATAGTTGTTAGGTTATACTCTTCAGGGAATAATGGTAAAAAAGTCCATATATATGCAGTACAGAGCCAATTATTTTTCTCTAATATTATTAAGCTGCAAAGTGCCCATGGAATGAAAAGGGCATCTTTATATTGTTGAAATAATTTACGGGGAATAATGTGATATTATAATATAGTTGGCTCAAATTATTTATTATAGCCATCACTTTCTAGTCTTCAGAAACAGTGGTTCTCAACCTGTGGGTCGAGATCCCTTTGGGGATCGAATGGCCCTTTCATGGGGGTCACCTAAGACCATCTGCATAACAGATATTTACAGTACAATTCATAACAGTAGCAAATTACAGTTATGAAGTAGCAATAAAAATAATTGTATGGTTGGGGGTCAGCATAACATGAGGAACTGTATTAAAGGGTCGCAGCATTGGGAAGG